CACACACACACACACACACACACACACACACACACACACACACACACACGAATGAAATAGTCTTTTCACCCGATCACAGAATGGAACTGAACCGTCCTTTGGTCAGATAAATAAAGAACACAGGGAGTGCTGACTGAGACCGGCTGCAGAGGTGCAACAGAAGGCAAAGTGGTGGTTTGCCATTCGGGAGGAGGGGGGTGAGGGAGGGGGACACAGTCTGCCTTCACACCGAAAGCATCGGGTGGCCAGAGGTGCTTCATCTTCAACGCTGTGTGCATATTGGCTGTTGAAGGCCAATCAGGTGCCTGTGCTTCGGAGCCTCTCTTCCAGAGGAACTGTGTCTAGCGTCCTACGTGTTGTGGAGGGACTGTACCTTCTACAGTCACATGACATGGTTCCACTCGTAGTTTAGTGTCAGTGTAGTGGTCTTGATGCCGTTGGTGTGACCTCCGCAGCCTCATGCAGAGGGTGAGGGGGTGTCTGGGTCCGGCTCGTAGTGGTAGGTGGCCTGAGTGTAGGTGCCGCTGTGGGGTAGACCGTGAAGAGCATCCCGGGCCTGCTGGTTGGGACCGTCGTAGCCTTGCAGTAACTGGGGGCCCGCGGTGTTCTCTGGCCCCGGTCCGAGCGCCTGCTGGTTGGGGTCAATGGTGCCCGGCGGCTGCGGCAGAGTGTCCAGCTCGTCCACCTGCGGCCCCGGAGGCTGCATGACCACCAGCTGGTCCTGGGGGATGTCCGCGGCGGCCGCGGCCAGGTTAGTGCTGGACTTGGACTTGACGCACTGGAAGTCCACGTGGCGGCTCTTCCCTTCCTCCTTCTCCCAAGACATGCGGATGAAGGGACGCTGGACGTAGTTATAGATTACCTCTGGACGACCTCCAGGACGCCGCTTCACCTTCTCTTTGTAGGTCGGGTACCCTGGAGACAACAGACAGAGAGAACCACCACAGCTCTTCACTACAGGAGGAGACAGACATCTACAGAAGGTGTGTTCACTACAGGAAGAGACAGACAGCTACAGAATGTGTGTTCACTACAGGAAGAGACAGACAGCTACAGAAGATGTGTTCACTACAGGAAGAGACAGACAGCTACAGAATGTGTATTCACTACAGGAAGAGACAGACAGCTACAGAA